ATCTTGGCATGGATGAGTGAGTGCCTCCAGTGCTGCATCAGTTTGTTGAAATATTTTTATTTGTATTCCATCAAGTCCTGGAGCTTTGTTTTCGAAAATGCCTTCAGTACAGCTTGGACTTTCTCCTTTAGTACTGTCAGTTCTTGAGCATGCTACCTCTTGAAATGGTTGAGCAGCAACCATTTCTTTTGGGTACAGTGACTGTATTACTTTCATCTTCTTCTGATGCTTTCTGCATCATTCAGTACTTTGTCCATATTGTTGTTGTTCTTATTAAGTGCCGTCGAGTCAGTTCCGACCCATAGAGACTCTGTACAGGATTTCCGAGGAGCAACTGGTGAACTTAAACCACCGATCTTGCAGTTCAAATGGCTTTGCAGTTTGGCGCTTTAATCCACAGTGCCACACTAGGACTCCATTTTGCCCTTCTTGTTGTTGTTAAGTGCTGTCAAGTCAATTCCAACCAGTTTAACAGCAATATGCAAGCCACCACTGTACAACAAGCTGACAGATGACTGTAGTGTTATGTTCGGCGCCATGGAGTCAGTACTGACTCATAGCGACCTTATGCACAGCAGAACGAAACACTGCCCAATCCTGGGCCAACCTCACTATTGTTGCCACGCTTGAGTCCATCGATGCTGCCACCTGCCAATCCATCGCATTGGGGGTCTTCTTCTTTTTCTCTGACCCTCCACCTTACCAAACATTATACCCTTCTCCAACAACTGGTCCCTCCTGACAATGTCTTAAGTATGAGAGACGAAGTTTGGCTATCCTGGCTTCCAAGGAGCACTCTGGCTGCACTTCTTCCAAAACAAATCTGTTGGCTCTTTTAACAGCCCATAGCACTTTCAATATTCTCCTCCAACACAACTCAAAAGCATCAATTCTTCTACGGTCTTCCTTATTCACTGTCTAGCTTTTGCATGCATATGAGGTTATTGAAAATACCATGGCTTGGGTCGAGCGCACCTTAGTCTTCAAACTGCTATCTTTGCTCTTCACAATTTAAAAAGGTCTTGTGCAGCAGATTTCCTAATGCAATATGTCGTCTGATTTCTTGACTGCTGCTTCCTTGAGTGTTAATAGGTGATCCAAGAAGAATGAAGTCAGTGACAACTTCAATCTTTTCTCCATTGATAAGAATGTTGTTTATTGGTCCAGTGGTGAGGATTTTTGTTTTCTTTACATTGAGATGTAATCCATACTGAAGGCTGTGCTCTTTGATTTTCATCAGTAAATGTTTTAAGTCCTCTTCACTTTCAGTAAGCAAAGTTGTATCATCTGCATATCGCAGGTTGTTAATGAGTCTTCCTCCAATCTTAATGCCACGTTTTTCTTCATATAACCCAGCCTCTCAGATAATTTGCTCAGCATATAGATTGAATAAGTATGGTGAAAGAATACAAGCTTGTCATACACCTTTTTAAAAACATCCAGTGTCTACACGTTCTGTTCGAACAACTGCCTCTTGGTCCATGTACAGATTCCTCATGAGCACAATTCAGTGTTCCAGAATACTCATGCTTCACAAATGCTGTCCATAGTTTGTCATAATCTACGCAATCAAAAGCCTTTGCGCACTCAGTATCTTTCTGATATTCTCTGCTTTCAGCTAAGATCCATCAGACAGATGACTAGTGGTGCTAAACAAAATGGGTCAATTCTATGTGTTGTTGTTTTTAAGTGCCATTGAGTTGGTTCTGACTCATAGCAACTCTGTATAGGGTTTCCAAAGAGGGGGCTTGAATTCCTGACCTTATGGTTAGCAGTTCAGTACTTATCCTACAGTCACACTAGGACTTCTATTTAATTCGATATAATTCAATTATGTTCTGTATCATCTCAAAGAAAATTCTAGAAGCAAAAAATTTACTATGGCTTCAATTTTTGATATTTATTTTAATTGAATATTAAATAAAATAGACAATATTTATTCTAATAAAATAAGTTTAATAAATGCACCTCCAAACTACTTTTACTTTAGATATGTAGAAAACAGTAGATGAAACAGAAGTAAGGGGTAATATTCAATATTTTCAATATATATCCCACTTACTTTTCAGCATCTCCAATATACTAATTACATATTAGAACTATGAACATGCTAAAATAAAATCAATTTATACTTTTGATTTTTATGTTCAAATCATCTGAAGATTTTGAGATTATCCTATGAACCAGAAAAGCCCAGTCTTTGTACGCTATGGTGGTGGTGTAGGTTATGTGCCGTGGAGTCGGTTCCGACCCATAGCGACCCTGTACAGGGTTTCTGCGGCTGTAAATCTTTACGGGAGCAGAAAGCCTCATCTTTCTCCCGTGGGAACAGCTGGTAGTTTTGAGCTGCTGACCCTGAAGTTTGCAGCCCAATTCATAACCACTACGCTACCAGAACTCCTTCGTACTCTATAAACTCACCTAATGGACAGTCATTCTAACTCAGTTTAATAGGGTATTTAAAATGCAATCCTTAAAGAGCATTCTGGGGACAAGAAGCATATTATAGAACTAAAATGCACATAAAAAACAAAATACATGAGAAATATTTCCGTTGTGGTAACTAATCGGACTCTATGTATCTCACCATACCATCTTTACACATTTTTTAAAGTGGAAATTTTTCATATGTTTTTAAATGTTACCATTAAAGTAGTATTTATTTTTTCACAGAAACCTATAAATTACTATGAAACAAAAATCACAGTTAATTTCTAATACTAAGTGAGGTGTAGCAAGCTATTTAATGCACCTTCTAGGCATAGTCTGCATAAACTCTCAACAACCAACTTTCTCCTGATGGGTTAGGGGAAGAAAAGTTGAGGGAAGACGCTGATGGATTATATGATTAAGCTGGGAGTTACTGTTAACAGGATGAATTGTATTTGGTCAGTGTTGCCATCCTACTGGGTATAAAATGAGCCATCTAAGAAGCAGAAGGGAGGATCTCATTATCATGAAGAATAAGAACCAAGGATGGAGCATGTCCTTTGGAGCCAGAGATTCCTGCACAGTGAACTTTCTTAACCCAGAGACAAAAATCTGTGACACTGAAGGAGTAGCAGAAGAGCAGCAGCAGCAGATCCAAGAGCCAGAACCCCAGGCAGAGCAGTGGATTTCCCAGCCCATGGAGCCACTAAAGCTGAATGGGCAGGAGACTTGCTTGCAGAGAGGGGTGCCTCCAGGTACTTAACTGGGGAAGCTGTATATGCTATCCAACAAAGATGAGCCAAGTGTCCTTAGACTAAGACTTATGGTGGAGTGGAGTGTCTGTGGATGTTGATTAGCAGCCCTGAGAAAGTTCTGTGACATTGCCCAAACAGAGAGAGGCCTGCCTGTGTGCATGGCTAAGAAGAGGCTGTCCTAAGTGGAGCAACTGTGCCCTGAGCATTTCTGACCCTGAATTGTAACCTGTTAACTTCCCTAACAAACCCCATAACTGTGAGTATTGTCTCTGAGTTCTGTGTGGCCATTACAATGAATTATTGAATCCATCTAAGTAGACAGTACTATGCGAAGGATGGTTGGTTCATTTCTCCTGCACTAAAGCCAGTCAGTACTTACTATTGAGTGCTGTCAAGTCAGTTCTGACTTACAGCAACTCTACATAGGGTTTCTGAGGAGCAGCTGATGAGTTTGAATTGCTGATCTTGCAGTTCAAAGCAACTTTGTAGTCGAGTGCTTATCCTACAGTTCTATACTAGGACTCCTAGTCAGTACTTGTTTTTGTTGTTGTTAAGTGCTGTTGAGTCAGTTCTGACTCAGAGTGACCCAGTATAGAATTTCTGAGGAACAGCTGGTGGGTTCGAACTGCCAACCTTGTAGTTCACAGTCTGGTGCTGATCTTACAGCGCCACACACCAGTACTTAAAGACTCTTAATTTTCTCAAGAACATAGTCTGATATCTATCCCAGATCTTCAAATAACAGTCAAATTAGTATTCTTAAAACTAAGATTTTTCTTAGTATTTTCAGTATGCTTAAGACATCAATAAGCTAATACCTTTAGCTGCATGAGAAGTACTGGGGGAAGCATTAAAAAATATTACATCATAGAAAAACAATATCCACCGTCTGAGAATTTCATCAACATAGGGAAAAACCACTTAGTTTTCTTTTGATGTATAATGATTAATAACAGTAATTATAATACAATAACATAAAATACAATACCAACTTTCCATATTTATGAGATATACTTCAATTTAATCAAGAGAGAATGGAAAATCCATAAAAGAGTTAACCCAACAAAAACAAAAAGATTCATAAAAATGAAAATCCAATGTACTGTTATTCCACTTTCACTGAAGAGTTGCAAAGAAAGATTCCAAAAAAGGTGAAAATAAGGAAAGAACTCATACCTATTTCCACAAACTCATTTGTTGTTTTAATTAACAAACATCTATATGAGCACTGAATAAGTGCCAGGCATTGTTCTAATCATTTTACTAATTAGCTTACTCCTCAGAGTAACACAGTGTTAATACATACTAATACCCTTATTTTACAGATGGAAAAACTGAGGCACAGAAAGGTTAAGTAACTTGCACAAAGTCACACAATTAGTAAATGGCAGAGCAAGGATTTGAACTCATATATATATATGGACTCCTGATGTGGCGCTGTAGGATCAGCACTGGACTGCAAACCACAAGGTCAGCAGTTCAAACCCACCAGCTGCTCCTCAGAAACCCGATGCTGTTCTTAGGTGCCAGGGTCGCTATTAGTCGGAGTCAACTGATGGCACTTAACAACAACAATAGGTTAGCTCAGGGGTCAATACCATATGACATGCCACAAATTTTATTAACGTTTCATTTTATAGCCACATTCTTTCATGTATGTATTGTCTGGCTTTCTTCAATCTGCAATGGTAGAGCTGAGTAGCTTCAACAAAGATTTTGGCCTCAAAGTTTGTCTAAAATATTTACTATCTGACCTTTTATAGAATATCTGTCAATCCCTGGTCTAGCTCTAATAATCTGTTAATTAAATTATACCTTCCAAAGACTCAATTCCAGTTGCTTGTGCCAGTAAATCTTCATGTCTTGCAACAACCTGAAAATCAAAATAAAAAATGAACAATTCCTCTAAATAAACATTAGGTATTTTTTCTCCATAAGTACAATGTAGAACTGAAGGCCTCTCTCTGTATATCAGGATTTTGTGGGGTGGGGGGATTACTAAACTAAAGAAAAAACTGCACGTTTTGAAACTGTATTTGAGATGGATTATCAGCAGGAACACATACACATTTCAAGTGCATGATGTCTTTAGTTAAGAATACAGACTCTAGTGAAAATGAGACAGTGACACAGAGTAGGAGGAGATACGGTGCTCACCAGACCCTTGTTTTAATGGCATGGGCGAGAGATATAAAAAAAATTTTAAATGACAATTCTTGTCACTCCATTATTCAGGTTTATTCAGCACACTAAAAGAACTTACAATAACAATATATATGTTTTCCCTTTAAAGAATGTTTCAAACATCAGCTCCTCTTAGTTCATAACCCTAATTGAAAAGAGAAAGCAGAGTCGGTGCCCACCTATCTCCGAACTCTTTCTGCTTCCAGCTTCCCAGTGTCATAACAGGATGTTTGCCCTGAAGAATATCAATATTTTATGAAAATTAGGACAGTGTGAGTGCCCAAAACAAAAACAAAACTAGTTACAAGTCACATGCAAGACACTGCTAAGAACACCATAAAACCATGCAAAGCTTTAGAATAATGCAAAATTCATTATCTTGTACCCTGAATCCAATGAAGTTTTGCATTTAATATACAAGCTGAAGTCCTCACCAGTAAGGATTCATTCACTGGAAGCCCTGTGTATACTCCTCGTCCTGGTTTCAGATCTCAGGAACATCCAATCAAGTCTTTTTCTAATATAGTTTAAGTAACGGTCTAAAATAATGTCTTCCTAAAGGTTTACAGATATCTGTATTTTACTCATTTAACTTGGTCATCAGTGTATGCATTCCAACAAGACTATTTTACTTTGATTCTTCTCTATTCACTCCCCCTCCCCCCGCTTTGTGGTAATACTTTGAAGGCTTGAAAGCCTAAACTATTCTTTCATATACTCACTTGCCACCAAATAGATGGATTTTCAAGACAGAAGAAAGATGAGCACTATCTTCCTAGTACTGTTGCGGTTAGTAAGCAAGATGCTGTGGCTTCGGATTCAGAGACAGCTGTGACGATGGCCAGAGAGATGGCTCCAGTCACCAGACTTCTAGTGGCATAACTTTAACACCAACATGGGAGGAAACAACAGGAGCTTCTGGGACCCTAGCTTTCATCTGTAACCATCACCACCAGCAGTCTCCAGAGAAACTTTTTAACAGAAACCCACTGCTTCTTCAGCAGTAGCTCCCTTTTCTCCCTCCAACCTGCCCCCTGTAACCACTAATAAACTCAGTCTCTATGCATTTGCCTACTCATGTAAGTAGGATCATATGATACATGTCTTTTTGTGTCAGAAAGATTTCATTTAGCATAATGTTTTGAAGGTTCATCCATATCGTCAGAACTTCATTTTTTATAGTTGAGTGACATTCCATTGTATGTCTACTGCCTTAGTTACCCTATTGCTACCTTAACAAAATATACCACAAGCAGAAGACTTTAAAGAATAAGAATTCCTCAGTTTGGAAGGTTAGAAAGTCTAAATCAAGGTATTCACTCCAGGGAAGAGTCCTTTCTTGTTGGTAGCCCTGGATGTTACTTGGCATTTTTTAGCATCATTCGGCTTTCCTTGGCATTAGTCTTCCTTCTGTGTGTATCTCTGTTTCTAATCTGGTCTTTTAATAACTCAAAAATTATCAGGTATAAGACCACCCTATACATGTTGTTGTTAAGTGCTGTCGAGTCAGTTTCAACTCATGGCAACCCTGTATAAGGTTTCTGAGGAGAGGCTTGTGGGTTTGAACTGCAGACCTTGCAAGTTAGCAGTGCGGTGTTTATCCTACAGTGCCACACCAGGACTTCATGAGGTTGGTGGTGCAAACCCACCAGCCACTCCTCAGAAATCCTATCCAGGGTCACCATAAGTCAGAACTAACTTAATAGCACTTACCAACAATCCCATACATAACAAAAGAAAATCCTCTTTCCAAACAGAATCATATCCACAGGTAAAGGGGCCAGGACTTCAAGCCGCATTTTGACAGGACACAGTTCAATCCACAACAACCACATTTTGTTTATTCAGTTATCTACTGATAGACATTGGAGTTATTGCCACCTTTTGATTATTGCAAATCACACTGCAATGAGTATTAGTGAACAAAGCATTTGTTTGCACCCCTGCTTTCAAGTGTTTTCAGCATATCCCTACAAGTATCATCGTTGAGCAATTATGGCACTATAGGATAAGCACTAAACTGCTAACCACAAGGTCAGTGGTTCAAACTCATCTGTTGCTTGGAAATCCTATACAAGGTTTCCATGAGTCAGAAATGACTCAATGGCATTTAATGACAACAAAATGGTAATTCCATGTTTAGCGTTTTTGAGAATTTCCACAGTGGCTGCACATTTTATAAATCTACCAACAATTGATGAGGATGGCAATTTCTCCACATTTCTTGATTCTTACAGAGAAGTTATTATATGCTAGGTATAAAAAAAATGTTATGCATAAATGGCTATGAATGAATTTCAAGTGGATCCTGAAAGAAGACAATCTGTAAATAAAAAAGATGATAACCCAAAAGCCATTTGTTATTATTGTTGTTAAGTGCCATCAAATTGGTTCTGATTCATACTGACCCTGTATAGGGTTTCCGAGGAGCAGCTGGTGGGTTTGAACCACCAACTTTGTGGTTCAAAAAACATTGCAGCCCAGTGTTTAACCTACAGCGCTATACCAGAACCCAACAGCCATAGGTAGAGTTAAATGTAGTCTACCCTGCTCCCATAAACACTGTGCATTCTTCTACTTAAAACAGCCATTACTTGCCTGTTATTATTTCTCTTTGTGTCTACTACTGGTCTAAGAGTCAATGTAGAGCTAGAAAATGTGTTCCATGCATTTAAATATTTATTAAGTAATTCTGGTAGGGTAGTGGTTACAAATCGGGCTGCTAATCTCACGGTCAGCAGTTCGAAACTACCAGTAGCTCTGCAGGAGAAAGATGAGGCTTTCTGCTGCCGTAAAGATTTACAGCCTAGGAAACCCTGTACAGGGTCGCTATGAGTCAGAACCGACTCCACGGCACATAACAACAACTCAGACAAAAGGTAACACTAGTTATACCATAACATCACCCTATAAAAATTATAGAATTATAGAAGATCATCTTTTCCAATCTCTTCTTCCCTTTATTCACTGCAATTCACTGGGTAGATTTAAACCTCACAGACATTAGAATAGTTTTAAAGTTACAAGCACAAGTGAGATTAGGGCCTGTCTCCTAACTCCCATATTATATTCTATCCATGCAAACATTTATCAACTCTGTATTTTCAGCAATGCTACAATGTGTGATCATTATATATGAACTACCAAGGTGAACATCCCAATTTTTCTTATTCACACTATCCTACTTCCAAAATTGATTTTCTATTATCTTAATCAGAAACATCCTATTTTCTGCACACTATACTCTCTGATCATTAGTTTAGATAGTGAAAGAAAAGTATGAATAAGGCATTTTGAAAACATGGATATATTCATTTTTCAATTCAAAAATTTACAAAGAAAAATTTTCAAAACTGTACTTTGAAAAATATACACTAGAAATGTGGGCATTTATTCATGTAAATCTGCATTTGGATTAAACTACAATAAAATTATAAAAATGTTCAAGTATTATTTTAGACTGAATTAGCTGTACAATTCAGAAGTTTGGAATTACCTGTAAGTGTAATTCTTTATCCAACTGACTGATTCCTTGGGCAAGTTTGGCAAGTTGTTCGGCAATTACAGCTTGATGAATAGATTGGGAAGTATAAGCCTTTACATCAAAATCTTCATTTAAGAAGTCACTATAACACTCTGGGGGAAAAAATAAGAAAAAGTCCTTAATTGAACTGTAGCAAACCACAATTATTAAATGACAGAACAACTGTAAACATAGCTAACACATATATTCTGAGGTCTACCTATATGAAGTGTTGTAAATGCTTCTGTAATTATGAGATGGAAAAGGAGGGTGTTTTAGCAGAAAAGTCATTATATTCATTGAAAGTTTACTATGTCCCAGGGACTGGTCTAAACCATTTATACATACAGAACTCATTCAATCCTCACAACAACCCAATTGGAACTATTGCTTTCCCCATTTCACAGAGGAAGAGACAGGAAAAAAGAGGTCACATAACTTGTCCAAGTTCACAGTTTGGAATTCAAGTTCACTTCATTTTCAGCACACACGGTTGTGTCATTTGTATGCATATCACAGGTTGTTAATGAGCCTGTCTCTAATCTTGATGTGTTCTTCTTCAGATGGCCCAGTTACTGGGATTATTTGCTCAGCATACAGTTTGAATAAGTATGATGAAAAATGTAACTCTGATACATACCTTTCATGACTTAAAATCACAATACTTTCTTGTTCTGTTCAAACTACTTCTTTTTCTACAAGAACACAATTAAGCGTTCTGGAATTCCCATTCTTCACAATGTTTTCCACAGTCTGTTATATAATAGTCAAGTGTCTTTGTATCAACAAGATAAACCAGTAAACATCTTTCTGGTATTCTATTTTCAGATAAAATCCATCTAACGTCAATAATGTTATCCCTCATTCCATGTCCTCTTCTGAACGTGTCTTGACTTTCTGGCAGCTTCCTGCAACCATTCTTTAATTATCTTCAGCAAAATTTTACTTGAATTTATATTATTATTCAAGTAAAATTAATGATAAAATCAAGAAATATTAATGATACTGTTCGATAATTTCTGTATTCCACTGAATCACTTTTCTTTTGAAATGGGCACAAATATGAGTTTCCTCCCATCAGTTAGTCTTCCACATTTCTTGGACTAGACCACCGAGTGCTTCCAACGCTTCATCTGTTTGCTGAAACATTTTAATTCTTGAAGCCAATGCCTTCAGTGCAGATTGAACTTCTTCCAATACCACGGGTTCTTGACCACATGCTACATCCTGCAGTGGTTAAACATTAGCCAATTATTTTTGGTACAGTAACTCTGTGTATTCCTTCCATCTTCTATTGACGTTTTCTGAGTCATTTAAAATTTTGTCTGTCTGTATTTGAAGGATTCTTCGGTATCTTAGTTCAAGGCTTGAATTTTTTCTTCAGTTCTTTCAGCTTAAGAAATGTCAACTGTGTTCTCTCTTGGTTTTCTAACTCAATCCCTTGCACATTTCCTCGTAATACTTTATTTTGTCTTCTTGAGTTACCCTTTTTTACTTCATAATTTCTTCCACTTTCTTTAGTTATTCTATATTTAAATGCAAGTTTGAGAGTCTCTTCTGTCTTCTGACATCCACTTTTGTCTTTTCTTTCTTTCCTGTCTGTTTAGTGACCATTTGTTTTCTCTATGAGTGATAGTCTTGATGTCAGCCCACAATTTACCTGGTCTTCAGTTTTTAGTGCTCAGTGTGTCAAACCTATTCTTGAGATGATCTCTAAATTCAGGAGGGACAAACTCAAGCTTGTACTTCGGCTTTCATGGGCTAATTTTTGTCAACTTCAATATGAACTTGCATATGAGCAATTGATGGTCTAGTCCACAGTTGGCCTCTGGCCCCTGATGATACTGAGCTGCTCCATTGCCTGTCTCCATAGACGTAGTTTATTCAATTCCTGTGCATTCCATCCTGTGAAATCTATACTTATTGTGACTGTTTATATTGTTAAATAAAGTACTTCCAATAAATAAGTCATTGATCTTGCAAAAATTCTATCATACAATCTCTGGCTTCATTTCTATCACCAAAACCATATTTTCCAACTACCATTCCTTTCTCTTTGTTTCCAATTTTCATATTCTAATCACCAATAATTAGTTTATCTAGACTACATTTTTTATCCATTTCAAACTGTAGAATTTGACAAAAATCCTCAGTTTCTTCATCTTTGACATTAGTAATTGATACATAAATCTGAATAATAGTAGTATTAACTGGTCATCCTTGTAGACATATAAATATTATTCTTTCACTGACAGCACTGTATTTCAGGATTAGAAATGTTATTTTTGACAATGAATGTAATTCCATTCCTCCTCAATCTGTCATTCCCAGCACAGTACAGCACATAACAATTGTATGATTCAAAATTGCCAATACCAGCCCATTTCAGCTCAATAATACCTCGAATTTTGCCCATTTCATTTTGACAACTTCCAATTTTGCTGGATTCTTTCTTCATACATTCCATGTTCTGTTATTAATAAATGTCTGCAGTTGTGTCTTCTTATTCTGAGCCATCCATCATCAGCAAATGAAAGCCCTGAAGCTTTACTCATTGACTCTACTTATAAGAAATAGCTCTTTGCTAGTCTTATTTTGAATGCCTTCCAACCTATCAGGATCATCATCCACTATGTAAGAAAATGTTTTACTGTCTAAAGTATTCACCGACCAATCAGAGGTAGATTGCCAAGTCCTTTTCAGAGGTAAGATTCCCCAGTCTCTTATTCTCGAAGTTCAACTAATATCTGTTCACCATGAGTGAGTGACCTTGCTTGTATTTGAAATACCTGCAGCATAGCTTCCACCATCACAATAACACACAAGCCACTACAGTATGACAAACTGACAGATGAATGGTGGGAAGGAAGGTTTAGAGGCAGCAAATGCCATGTCATATTTTGAGAACTAAGAGAAATATTGTCCTAGATCACAGAATGTGTATGCTTGGCTAAACGATAGATTAGACTCCAAAAGAAGGTTGGTGGCAGTTTGGAGAGAGTCCTGTAAGACATTTAAAAGGGTCAGAATAGATCCCATTTAAGGTTTTAAAGCCAAGAATGAGCACAGTCAGCTTTGGGTTTTAGGAGATTAACTTTGGCAGCAGTGTGGAGGAGAACTGAAAAGGGATTAGACACGCAGTGATGTGCTGGAGCTGGCTCACATCAGCTCTCCAGCCATTTGTCAAATTTTCAGGAATTTTGTGAACTAGCTGATATCACATGTAGGTGTTAAAATTGACTCTGGTGAAAGTATTTACACCATGGAGATGAGCAAATACTACAGATGTTTTCTATTTTCTCTAAAGCTGGTTTACCAGCATATCTCTGGAGCAGAGCCAGAGGAACAAATAAGGAAGTATGCTAAATATTCAAGAAAGGTTGGCGGCTGGGAACTGAGGGAGGTGATGCCACCTGATCCCATGTAGTCCTGCCAGAGCCTCAAGTAGGTTTCTTTTAAGTATCTCTAAGTCCTGGTGTGGCGTTGTGGGTTAATGCACCAGACTGCAAAGCCGTCTGAACTGCAAGGTCGGCGGTTCAAGCTCACCAGCTGCTCCTCGGAAACCCTATACAGGGTCGCTATGAGTCGGAATTGACTTGAAGGCATGCAACAACTACAAAGTATCCACTCCAGGAGTCCTGGTGTGGCGCTGTGGGATAAAGCACTGGACTGCAAGGTCAGCTTGAACCACAAAGTTGCTGGTTCAAACTCACCAGTTGCTCCTTGGAAATCCTATACACAGGGTCGCTATGAGTCAAAACTGACTCAACGGCACTTAACAACAACAACAGTGTCCATTCCAAGGAGTCCTGTTAGCACAGTGGGTTACAAGTTGGGTTGCTAACCTCAAGGTCAACAGTGTGAATCAACCAACCACTCTGTGGGAGAAAGATAAGGCTTTCTGCTCTCACAAGGATTTTCAGCCTTGGAAACTCTATACAGGGTTGCTATGAGTGGGAAACAATTCAACGGCACACAACCACCAGCACCACCAATGTCCAGTCTTATGCTCAGTCCCACGTGAGATTATCCAGTATTTGTGGGAGCTTTTTCCATCCCAACCCTGGGGCCATTTATATAAGTATAACCCGTCCTGGACAGCCAGAAAGTTTTCTGCCATTGCACAATGGACTAGAATCATGGGCTGTCTGAAGTTGCAAGCTCACATGTGGGTGCTAAGGCTGCACAGTGCCACTCTGAGGATGTTGGCCGGGTGTTAGCACAAGTAGAGACTCACAGGCCCTCCCTTTGGAGACGTTAGCCCTGGGGCACTGTGATCAAGAGGCCTGTCCTCTCTGGCAAAAAGCAGGCAGCAAAGGAAGTAACACTACACCAGGCTTCGCTGCAGCTGACTAAATACCAGATGGTTCTTGTGCTCACCTTCCATCAGTCCCACTCTGGGAACAGGTCATCTCTTGACCCTGGAAATCTGTCATTTCCACTGTGGAGGCTGGGTAACTGTGAACAGCTGGTGCAAGTCTGACTCTTCATGATCCCAACATGTTTGACCCCCAGTAAAGGTGCTGAAGCAAGAAGCTGAAGCACTTTGTGATGCTGCTAAGGGTCTTGCAGTAACACAAGAGGAACAAGGGGTTGAATATCTAGGGTTTTCTCTTATTCCTTCCCTGTGCATAAACAGAAGATGCCTCAGCTGTGCAAAAATAAACTTGTTTTATAATAAAAAAAAAAAAATTCAAAACAAAGTCCAATCATGTATATGTGTGTGTGTGTGTGTGTATATATATATACACATACACAAAGGCCTAATCTAAGACAGTACCACTAAGAATTTCACAAACATTCAACGGCATGTTAAGTGATAAACTGAAAATGGGAGGTTAAATAGAGCAAGACGTCAAAGATAATTCCAGGTTTCTTGACTACGTACCTGATAGAGGGAATTTAACTTTGCGCTAAACCAAGTAACTTCTTGTTATTAGATGTTCTCAACAGTGAATTCATGTGACAGAAAGTGTTATCAATAGTGACCCCATGTGACAGAGTTGAACTGACCCACAAGGTTCTCTAGGCTATAATCTCTAAAGTAACAGATTACCAGGTATTTCTTCCACAGAGCCACTGGGTGGTTTCAAACCACCAACCTTTCACCAGC